TTCTGTAGCTGTGCAGCTGTTTTCAATACAACGGTGACTCACGCTTTCATGTGACTTGGTAAGACACGAGTGTGTGTGTGTGTCAGATTATGGTAGAATGGCAAAATGAATGTGTATGACAGAGAGAGAGAGAGAGAGGGTGGGGTGGGCGGCCAAAATACAATGATGTCATCACTTGCGAGTCTTTAGCCAAAGGCTTTCGGCGAGTGAGAGCAGACGAAAGGCTGAAGGCAGACTCACGTCGACCGAAGGGTCTGGAAACTGTGGTGTTGTTGTTTTGTCTGTAGTAAAAGTAGAAAATGTTACAGTCGGTAATGTAGTCGTGTTCCAACCAATCCTGATGTTTCCCACCACTACAACAACAACACTGATAACAGCCTATCAGATCACTTCTCATCAGTTATGCAGTAAGCTAACTACTGGTTCTTAATACAGCGAGACAATGCACTGCTCTGTGTGTAGCAACATCTGCAACTGTGGCTATGAAATCAACTTTCTGTTGTAATGTACACCAGCTGCCACTGGTGCTGAGCGTGAGGACTGTCCTCTGCTGTTGATGTATGGAATTACATACTGTCGTTGTTTTTGTATCGACACCACTGACCAACATCCAGGTTTGGATGTCGTGGATGTGGCAGTAAACGTTCCAACATTTGTCCCAAACTCCTCCATTCTGTTGGTTGGTTAATTAGCTTCTTTAATTAGCACATTTGCTAATGGAAGCTTTACATCAGAATCAGTCATTTTAGCCGAGCCGTGATTCACAGATCACATGAGCTCTTTGTCTTCTTCTTCTTCCCTCCTGAGTCAGAGCCTCAGTGGTCGTTGTCATCTGTGTGAGGAGTCACCACTGATGCCTCACCTTCGTCCTGGATGATGATGATGATGACGAGGATGATGATGTAATGAACTGAATGTGTCTCATTGTTGTAATTTTAATTTTGTTTTTTTATTTTGTGCAGTTTTGACCTTTGGCCTCATTACTGGGTTATGGTTCAGGACCAGGTTAGCGTGTGTGCTAATAGTGAATCACTGTGTGTTTGTGCAGCAGAAGTGAAGTCTTTCATTTCATAATTCATTACAATGACTTAAGGTTAATTGTGTTCACGTTACCATGTGTCAGCTCTGGTTTTTGAACAACACATCGTGACCTTGAAACGTAGGAAGGTCAAAGTGAGCTTCTGATCAATGACCGCCTTGAGGTTCAAGGCCAGGCTGAAGGAAGAAGTCAGGAAGGGGATGTAGGAGCAATCTGTTGACACGTAGTAACACGGACTGTGTAACCGAGTACTACATCAATGCAGAAGTAGTAATCGGTTCCTGGGACACAAGGAAAGGCCTGTGAGGAAACTGAAGTTTGGAACAGGTTTTAGAAAATGTCACCTGGTGATGACTACGAATTAAAGCTACAGCTCAGCTGCTGTTTAAATAAGAGTTTATATTTTTGAAGTCGCAGTCATCACTTAGTTCTTAGACCTTACGTACACGATGTAGGCGTTTGTCAAACATTTTGCTTCTTTCACTGCGATCAGGGAAAATCAAACACAAACACAGTGACTGTGGTCGGTGATCTGTTACCAACACTAGTACAAAATGGACTAAAACAGTCCAGGAGTGTTAACCATGTGACCCACATGGTTAACACTGTGGTGGGGGGTGAAAGACAAATATATACATATATATGTATATATATATGTGTGTGTGTATATATGTATACACATATATACACACATATGTGTGTATATATGTGTGTATATATGTGTGTATATATGTGTGTATATATGTGTGTATATATGTGTGTATATATGTGTGTATATATGTGTATACATATATACACACATATGTGTGTATATATGTGTGTATATATGTGTGTATATATGTGTGTATATATGTGTGTATATATGTATATATGTATATATGTATGTATGTATATATGTGTCATCTGCGTATACAGTAAATAGTGGATGTATCTCTGTGAACCTTTAATCTTCTACTACAGCTTTAATTTTCATTTTAAATAGTGAGGAGTGACTCAGACAAAAGTCTGTCTTTTCTTTTCTTTTTTCTTTTCTTTTCTTTCTCTTTTTGTGATTACATCCAAAGTCAGGAGCTGTGAAGTGGCTCGGTACTTGCTGGAACCTGCTTTCTTCAAGTCCACTATCGGTCCACTCCATCAGCACTGAGAACATCTGTGACCAGCAGTGGCCTTCAGAACCTTTATCTCACGTGTTTGTTAGTTTGTGGATGGTGCTGTGGCAGTGACATCTGGTTCAGTCGCTTCAACTCTACTGATGATGATGATGATGATGATGGGTCTCAGTTAAACAAGTGTGTGTGTGTGTGTGAGAAAGGAATGCAAATGTTCCTGCAAGTTGGAGAAATGTAAGAATGTGTGAATAAAATGCAGTGAAATAGTGATTTGTTGAACGAAAGGTTTTATTTAATGTGGTGTAAGAACGAAGAGCAGAGAATATTCTCTGACCTGGACTGGACCTGGACCTGGACCTAGATCTGGACCTGGGGACCTGGACTGGACTGGACTGGATCTGGACTAGAACTGGACTGGCCCTGGACCTTGAACCTTGAACCTTGACCCTTGACCCTTGAACCTTGACCCTTGACCCTTGAACCTTGACCCTTGACCCTTGAACCTTGACCCTTGACCCTTGAACCTTGAACCTTGACCCTTGACCCTTGAACCTTGACCCTTGACCCTTGAACCTTGACCCTTGACCCTTGAACCTTGACCCTTGACCCTTGAACCTTGAACCTTGAGCCTTGAACCTTGAACCTTGACCCTTGACCCTTGAACCTTGAACCTTGAACCTTGAACCTTGAACCTTGTCATTTCTCTCAGTAACTGATGCTTCCGTCACTAACATTCCACGCTCCCTCTGTGTTTATGAACCGGTCCCTAGAACTGTTCCAGGAACTTGAAGAATTTAAAAAAAAAAAAAAGCTATTTGATCATAATGTTTGGACGTGAAACGTCATGTTGTGTCGTCGGTTCTGTAGCGTAGCGGTTAGCACGCCTGCCTCAGAAACAGAGGGTTCGTGGGTTTGCACCACATTTGGCGCCCGCACGCCTGCCTCAGAAACAGAGGGTTCAGAGGGGTTGTGGGGTCGCACCACGTTTGGCGCCTACTAGGGGTCAACCTGTTAACTGTTTATCTGCAAGAATTTCTCGAGTATGGGATCAATGAAGTTCAAATTATTCATTATTATTGTCAGAAGTCTAAGAACGGCACTAGTGAAAGTGATTGTGTGTGTGTGTGTGATCCAGAGGCCTGTGTGTGTCTCTCCCTCCCCCCCCCCCCCCCCCAGCTGCAGGATGTCCTGCTTCAACATTCTGCTGAATAAACCCCACCCTTCTTGACTGTTGGCAGACAGTAGTCATTCTCTGTGTGTGTGTGTGTGTGTGAGAGAGAGAGAGTCTCAGAACGACACACCTCCAAAATTCCAGGCCACACCAGGTGACATGTTCCCCACTTTTATAAAAAAACAAAACAAACTGTTACACATTACTGAACGATGACATCATTTCCCAGCATGCACTGTTCACACTGTGGTGTACCTCATGATTAATGACGACACATCCAGAGTGGTGGCCAAGTCACAGCGAGCTCTGTACCAGAATCTGTACTTCCTGTTTGTCCACAGATGAAGTCCACGTGGGATTCGGCCCAGGTTTAGACGTGGGTCTCTCCCCCCCCGGTCAGGTCTAAACCCAAAGTTCATAACTGTCTGTAAAGATTGTTGTGGATGTCGGAGTGACGTTACAGGTCTTAATATATACAGTCATCGTCTGCAAACATGTTGACCTTTGACACCAGGTTTCATTTACACATACATGAAGGTGTGAACTCAGTCGTTACACATCGACATAGTCGTGATGTAGTTGCATTGTTGTGTTTACTCACATTCAAATACAATGATGTCTTTGCTGACCTTTGACCTGCTGCTGTCCAGGACTGGGACAGCGCCCCATCTGTTGTTCGTGCGTCGTTCACCCTCTTCAGTTTTTCTGGTTTTCTCCTCACAGCCGGCGTCGGTTTGTGTTTTTATTGAGAACAGAATCGTTATGAAATTCAGTTCTCGTTGAAGCCAAAGTAAATGAAATCTGTTTTGTGCATCGGTTGAGTCGTGAGGACAGAGACTGCATCTGCGTCCGGTGAGCAACGAGAAGCAGAAGTTACGTAAGACTTTGTCTTTGTCACATCACAGAGAAACGACTTTGTTAACCAGTAAACTTTACGACATCCCATAAACGACCGCCAGTGTTGAACTGCACTGTCGTGTCAGGACCACTGATGGGCAGTGACGAGTTACAGTAAAAGGCGCTACTGTAATCGGATTACTTTTAAGTAATTTTAAGTAATGAGTAAAGTAGGGGATTACAATTGTAGAATCAGTAATTGGATTACTGTTACTTTCCGTCAGACAGGCTGCGTTACTAATTTGTAGATTTGTTTTTGAGGGAGAGTTTCGTGACGGTGATGTCGCGGTGTGACGTCAGTGGTCAAAAAATAATTGTATTTTTTATATTTTTGCATATTTTTATATGATTTATTTTGTATATTTATGTTATGCATGTTTTTGAAATGTAACTAAGTGAAGTAATTATTATAGTAACTAAATACTTTGGAGAATAAGTAATCATTAAAGTAACTGGATTACTTCCTTGGAGAAGTAATCAGTAATCAATAACTAATTGCTATTAGTACGAAGCAGTTGATGATAGAGATGTAACGTTAGACTCAACTCACGAAGCAGTTGATGATAGAGATGTAACGATAGACTCAACTCACGATTTGTTTTTTTTGGTTTTTTTTGTTGTTGTTATTTTTTGTATTTCTGGTTTTTTTTTTGTTGTTAGATATTTTTTTAGTATTTCTCAATGAGTGAAGAGAAAATAAGAAAAAAAAACCAAGGCTGTTCTTTAACAAATTTCACGGTTAATGAAATGATGAACCCTACGTTTCCCGTCTGTGTCTTTGCAGTGGAGGGTGAAGGTCAAGGCTGCATTCTTCAACGGTTTCCTGAGAAAGACTGGGAGGACAGTCCGTTCCCACAGGGCGTCGAGCTGGTAAGTCAACGCCGTGTTCTCGTTCATCTGACAGAACGTCGCACTTAACCCCATCACAGTCTGGAATCTGTTTCCTGGACCAGAGTAACTGCTGCTGCTGGTACTGCACTGCAGTATTTATATGTGGAGTATTTATATGATGTGGAGTATTTATATGTGGAGTATTTATACTCAGGTATTACCCAGGTATTGGTGGTGAATATATTTTTGCTGCGACACCTGATCCTGGTTCATGAAGCTAACTGGTACTTTGAATTATTGAACCTCCACATGTGTCTTCTTCTATGATGTGGAATGTTGACTGTCAATGTAGGAGTATGTATCGCCCCCTACTGTTAAGGAGTGTGAATAGGCTGATTTTTTTTTCTCAGTTTTTTTTTTTGCCTGCGACCCACTCAGTGAGTGAGATTAGATTAGATTAGATTTGATTAGATTAGATTAGATTAGATTAGATAGAACTTTATTAATCCCTTTTGGTGACGTAACATGTTCAATCATTAACATAATGTTGTTTATCAATGTTCAACAGTCACAGCTGAGACAGCGTTGGTGTTGGTGTTGTTGGTGTGTTTTCAGTGTGTGTTGTTTTGACGTCTGTGAGCCAACACTGACAGGTGTCTGTCTGAACATGTTCAGTTGTTAAAGTGACTGGAGGAACATGTGACCCACGGTGTGTCATAAATATGAACTCTTTGTTTTTCTCCTTCTGTCCCCCCCCCCCCACCTTCACCCCCGTCTCCCTTCATCCTTGGACCGTCCTCCAGTTCTGTCAGCCCAGTGGTTGGCAGCTGGTCCCTGAGCGTCAGCCCGCCTCCTTCTTTGTCGCGGTGTTGACGGACATCAACTCGGAGCGTCACTACTGCGCCTGCTTCACCTTTTGGGAGAGTTTGGACAATCCACAGGTGAGGAAGACCGTCTGTCCTGTCTGTCCTGTCTGTCCTGTCTGTCCTGTCTGTCCTGTCTGTCCTCTGACTTCATGTTAGGGGTCACATAAAGTGAAGCTGTGCAGAAGATGTTCCTCCTCCTCCTCCTCTTCCTCATCTTCCTCCTCCTCTTCATAAATGTCTGATGATATAGGAATGCTGTGGAACCAGGTCCTAAAACTGATTTCACTGTAAAAGTATTCATCTGTCTGTGGTCAGATGTTCACACTGGTACACTGACTGTCTGTGTTCTGGTCAGTGTTCTGGTCTGTGTTCTGGTCAGTGTTCTGGTCTGTGTTCTGGTCAGTGTTCTGTCTCCAAATGTCACATCACTTAAACTAAATCAGGGTGTGATGAATCAGAAATGTTCTGTGTCACACTCTGTTTAACCAACCATGTTACCATGGAGATGGTGTGGAGCAGCGACCATCAACTGGAGGCCCGTGGGCCCAATCTGGTCCGAGTCTGTTATGGGCCGTTGACACCAAAAGCGATTTGCGAAAATTGAGCATGGAGGCCCGTGGGCCCAATCTGGTCCGTGGGCCGTTGACACCAAAAGCGATTGGTGCAAATTGAGCGGCAGCTCCACAGAGACAATCAAACAATCATCAAACGCTGCTGGAGACAATTGTCCTTCTCAGAGATACAGTTGGTGTCCCCTGGTGTGGAGTCAAGGACAGAGAGGACAGAGTCTGTCCCAATGACTGACCAGTCGGACCTTCAGACCAAGACTAGAACCACCTGCAGATGTGAAACAGAAAAAGTTTGAACAAAAGTTTCTGTTCCTGTTAATTTGGTTCAGTTCCATTGAAACTTGGAGAAGAAGATGGTGTTTCTGTCCATGTCGTCAGTGGTCTGTACTGACTGTTTTCTGTTCTGTCCTGTGGTCTGTACTGACTGTTTTCTATTTTGTCCTGTGGTCTGTACTGACTGTTTTCTATTTTGTCCTGTGGTCTGTACTGACTGTTTTCTATTTTGTCCTGTGGTCTGTACTGACTGTTTTCTGCCCTGTGGTCTGTACTGACTGTTTTCTGTTCTGTGGTCTGTACTGACTGTTTTCTGTTCTGTGGTCTGTACTGACTGTTTTCTATTTTGTCCTGTGGTCTGTACTGACTGTTTTCTGTTCTGTGGTCTGTACTGACTGTTTTCTATTTTGTCCTGTGGTCTGTACTGACTGTTTTCTATTTTGTCCTGTGGTCTGTACTGACTGTTTTATGTCCTGTGGTCTGTACTGTCTGTTTTCTGTTCTGTCCTGTGGCCTGTACTGACTGTTTTCTGCCCTGTGGGCTGTACTGACTGTTTTCTGCCCTGTGGGCTGTACTGACTGTTTTCTGCCCTGTGGTCTGTACTGCCTGTTTTCTGTCCTGTGTCCAGCTGCAGAAATCTGGAGGTGAAGCGGACGAGGCTGACGAGGAGCCGTCGGTCGTTCAAACAGCCTGTACTGACTGTTTTCTGTCCTGTGGTCTATACTGACTGTTTTCTGTCCTGTGGTCTGTTCTGTCTGTTTTCTATTTTGTCCTGTGGTCTGTACTGCCTGTTTTCTGTCCTGTGTCCAGCTGCAGAAATCTGGAGGTGAAGCGGACGAGGCTGGCGAGGAGCCGTCGGTCGTTCAAACAGCCTGTACTGACTGTTTTCTGTTCTGTCCTGTGGCCTGTACTGACTGTTTTCTGCCCTGTGACCAGCTGCAGAAATCTGAAGGTGAAGCGGACGAGGCTGACGAGGAGCCGTCGGGCGTTCAAACAGCCAAAGTCTTCGCTCCTAAAAGCCTGGTTCTGGTTTCCAAACTGGACTACACCGAAGTCTTCAGGGTAAAACACACACTGACTGTTTTCTGTCCTGTGGCCTGTACTGACTGTTTTCTGCCCTGTGGCCTGTACTGACTGTTTTCTGCCCTGTGGTCTGTACTGCCTGTTTTCTGTCCTGTGTCCAGCTGCAGAAATCTGAAGGTGAAGCGGACGAGGCTGACGAGGAGCCGTCGGTCGTTCAAACAGCCTGTACTGACTGTTTTCTGTCCTGTGGTCTATACTGACTGTTTTCTGTCCTGTGTCCAGCTGCAGAAATCTGAAGGTGAAGCGGACGAGGCTGGCGAGGAGCCGTCGGTCGTTCAAACAGCCTGTACTGACTGTTTTCTGCCCTGTGGGCTGTACTGACTGTTTTCTGCCCTGTGGGCTGTACTGACTGTTTTCTGCCCTGTGGCCTGTACTGACTGTTTTCTGTTGTGTCCTGTGGTCTGTACTGCCTGTTTTCTGTCCTGTGTCCAGCTGCAGAAATCTGAAGGGGAAGCGGACGAGGCTGACGAGGAGCCGTCGGTCGTTCAAACAGCCAAAGTCTTCGCTCCTAAAAGCCTGGCTCTGGTTTCCAAACTGGACTACACCGAAGTCTTCAGGGTAAAACACACACTGACTGTTTTCTGTCCTGTGGTCTATACTGACTGTTTTCTGTCCTGTCCTGTGGTCTGTACTGTCTGTTTTCTGTCCTGTGGTCTGTTCTGTCTGTTTTCTATTTTGTCCTGTGGTCTGTACTGTCTGTTTTCTGTCCTGTGGTCTGTTCTGTCTGTTTTCTATTTTGTCCTGTGGTCTGTACTGTGGTCTGTACTGACTGTTTTATGTCCTGTGGTCTGTACTGCCTGTTTTCTGTCCTGTGTCCAGCTGCAGAAATCTGAAGGGGAAGCGGACGAGGCTGACGAGGAGCCGTCGGGCGTTCAAACAGCCAAAGTCTTCGCTCCTAAAAGCCTGGTTCTGGTTTCCAAACTGGACTACACCGAAGTCTTCAGGGTAAAACACACACTGACTGTTTTCTGTCCTGTGGCCTGTACTGACTGTTTTCTGTCCTGTGTCCAGCTGCAGAAATCTGAAGGGGAAGCGGACGAGGCTGACGAGGAGCCGTCGGTCGTTCAAACAGCCAAAGTCTTCGCTCCTAAAAGCCTGGCTCTGGTTTCCAAACTGGACTACACCGAAGTCTTCAGGGTAAAACACACACTGACTGTTTTCTGTCCTGTGGTCTGTTCTGTCTGTTTTCTATTTTGTCCTGTGGTCTGTACTGCCTGTTTTCTGTCCTGTGTCCAGCTGCAGAAATCTGAAGGGGAAGCGGACGAGGCTGACGAGGAGCCGTCGGTCGTTCAAACAGCCTGTACTGACTGTTTTCTGCCCTGTGGGCTGTACTGACTGTTTTCTGTTGTGTCCTGTGGTCTGTACTGTCTGTTTTCTGTTCTGTCCTGTGGCCTGTACTGACTGTTTTCTGCCCTGTGGGCTGTACTGACTGTTTTCTGCCCTGTGGGCTGTACTGACTGTTTTCTGCCCTGTGGGCTGTACTGACTGTTTTCTGCCCTGTGGGCTGTACTGACTGTTTTCTGCCCTGTGGCCTGTACTGACTGTTTTCTGCCCTGTGGGCTGTACTGACTGTTTTCTGCCCTGTGGGCTGTACTGACTGTTTTCTGCCCTGTGACCAGCTGCAGAAATCTGAAGGTGAAGCGGACGAGGCTGACGAGGAGCCGTCGGTCGTTCAAACAGCCTGTACTGACTGTTTTCTGTCCTGTGGCCTGTACTGACTGTTTTCTGCCCTGTGGGCTGTACTGACTGTTTTCTGTCCTGTGTCCAGCTGCAGAAATCTGAAGGTGAAGCGGACGAGGCTGACGAGGAGCCGTCGGTCGTTCAAACAGCCAAAGTCTTCGCTCCTAAAAGCCTGGTTCTGGTTTCCAAACTGGACTACACCGAAGTCTTCAGGGTAAAACACACCGTCATGACAGTAGGACAGTAGGACATTAGGACATTATGGGATGCGGTGGCTCGGTGGTTAAGTGGACTTGGGAGGTTTCAGGTTTGAATCCACCACTGAGGTGTGATAAAAGCAGAGGTCACGTCTGGTTGTGTCGTGTCACGACGACAAATAACTGTCACTGTCACGTCACATTTGATGTTCAGTTGAATTCATGTTTGTTTGTTTGTTTGTTTGTCTCTGGTTTGTGTGAACAGAACTGTTTGGGTCTGGTTTACACCATCTACATCGATGGTCTGAGCGTTCACCTGGAGACGGTGATTGGAAACCTTCTCACCTGTGTCATCCCCATCGCTGGAGGCTCCCAGGTACGTCTGACCAGGAATACTCCGAGTTTTTTATTTATATTTTTGTCGTGGTGCGTTGTGGTTTTCCCTCCTCTCATTTTACTGGGTCGTTGGTGTTGTCTTTGGCTACTAGACGAGAGGAGAATTGTTATTGTTTTATTGTCAGTTTATTTTATTGATAAACTCATATAAAAAGGTCCAGATAGTCATGAAAGAATATTCATTTTTTTTACTTTTATTTTGCTGCCAGTTGTTATTTATTATCCATATTATATCCATATGTTTTTTTGTTTTTTTTTTGAAGCGCGAGGGGGCGGGGGGGTTAAAACCCACCATGTTAAGTCTTGATTTTTTTTTATTTTTATTTTTTTAAACCTGCATGATCCTCAGAGCTGACAGTTTCCTCTGTTCACACTTCACCTTCTTCAAACTTTTTTTTTTTACTGGCATCAGTTAATTTTCCTGCCTAAAACTTCTGCACAGCCCTCGTAGTCTATCCAGTACCACACGTTTGCAGGACCTACCTGTGACGGTAGAACATTACAACCTACAGCGTCCAGGCGACTCCGACGGTTCCTCCGACGGTTCCCCTGACCCGTACCCCCCTGACCCGTACTGACCGGTCACTGTTGTCTGTGTTGTAACGGCCACATGTGACCACTGTGCTGCTCATCACCGCTGGTTCCTCTGTGTTACAGACAGATGAGGCTCCAGTTTGTAGTTTAGACACGGTTCCTCAGGTTCTGTCCTGTGATTGGCTGCTGGCCTGTCTCCAGGTAACTTCATCAAAGCTTCTCCAATCAACAGTCAGCTCGATGTCACTGATTCTGTTAATCAAGCAAAAAAAAAAAAGAAAATCTCTTGAATATCCTGCCGTCATTTCCAATCATGTGTGAGTGGTGGCGCTGTTGTTGTTGTTGTTGTTGTTGATCAAACAGCTTTTGATTTAATCATCACACAGAACAGCTTTTTATAATTATTTGCATTTGTCATGCTTCATTCCTAATTGTCGCATTTATCAGGGATGACGTTTTATTTTCAGTTTTTTTTTTTTTTTCAGATTGTTGTTTTTTTTTTTGTCTTTTTTTGCCGTGTCGACTCATGGGACGGCGTTCGTTTTCCCACTTGAAGTCAAATAATACACAGACGTGTCTCTGTGAGACAAACAGTTCTGTTCCTTTGGCTCAGTACCCAGACCTCTTTAGAAGGATTACTGCACTCACACACACACACACACACACACACACACACACACACACACACATTCCAGTCACCCTTTAATCACTCTTCTCCGACTGTAAACTCACTAAATGATTTTCACCTCCTCCAATGGACGTTATTGATCTATTTTTTTTTTTAACTTTTAACTGGAGTCACGTCTCTGATTGTCGATCTTCAGAGGAAGTGAAAACTCCGATCCTCCTCTCGACAACACAGACGTTTGTCAGTGGTTGAAACGTTTTCATGTGAACTTCAGGTCATTGGCTGGATGTGACCTGTCAGCCAGCCAATCACATCCATCGGTGGGAAGCAGCTGTTTCATTTCCACGTCCTCCTGGTCAGAAGAAACGTTTTTGGGTTTGTTTTGTTTTTGTTTTTTTTCTGTGGTCACGGAGGAGCTTTTGTTTTCTTATCCAAACATCATCTTCATTTTTCCAGGACGTTGCCACATTAACAACTAATGTGTCACTGGACATTCCAGTTCTAGTCTCTGGACAGTCTCCCCCCCCCCCCCTCTGACTCGGAGGCAGCACATCACTGTGTCAGGACTCTGCTGAATCAAACTTCTTCTTTTTAACCTCAGTAAAATTGTCCCGTGCAGAGACGGACAGATGTCTCTGTGTTGTCTCTTATATTATTATTATTATTATATGGAGTTTAGGATTTATTTTATTTTTATTATTATTATCAACAGACTCAGTTTCTCAGTGAAGTGAAGGGACTTGAATAATTATCTGCTGCTTATTTTTGTTTCTCTTTTAAGTCTTAAATGTTGGCTTTTTTATTTTTTATTGCACGTCTGTGGTGTCTGTTCCTCTGAGTCTGTGGATACATGTCTGTTACTCTGTCAGTAATTTAATTTAATCAGTCATTCATTTAGAAACACAGCAAACGTGGATTTTAGTGAAAAGTTTTTCCTAAATATTACAACGGACCAAAATGTTAGAAATAAAGTTGAGAAATGTAGCCTTCCTGCACAGAGACTGACGTCAAACTCTCCAGTCGTGTCAGTTGTCAGCTGTCAGTTGTCTGACGTGAGAAAACAGAGTATGGTGAATGTAGCCTCTGACTCCGTGTGGCCACCGCGCTGCCGTTCATGTTCATGACCTCATCGTTCGTGCTGCTTCTTTTTCTGCCGCCCTGACGAGTTTTGTTGTCAAATTGTGGATTTTCTGTCCTGTTGTTTCTAACCTGGGTTTAATTCTGACGTCGTGTGTGCGTGTGTGTGTGTGTGGGTGTGTGTGCGCGTGTGTGTGTTTCTGCTGTTTGCTTGTGTAGCCAGGTCAAGAGGAGAGGGAGGAGAGATTGGTACGACTGCCCGACTTCATTCTCCCCTTGTTACCTGTCTGAGCTGAGCTTGACTTGTTTTAGCTTAGCTTAGCTTCGCTTCCTTTAGCCCCTCACTTCATCTAATCTGATCTCCTGTGGCAGGAGAGCCAATCAAAATGCTTCTCAATTGGACAAGTGACCAACAACTGATCAGTGTTTGAAGTTACAAATGAAATATACATGATTTAAAAAGTATTTATTATTATACCTGCAGGTTAAAGTACGTTAGCATCTCAGTCTGCTGAGAATTTGTTAAATCTTTTTTTTTTGTTTTTTAATTTAGGTACATTAACCAAAAGCGCTGACATTGAACACAGCAGATGATCAGCTGTCGGTCACTGAAGTAAAACATGCTAACAGCTCATGTGTGCTTGTTGCTGCTGCTGCTGCTGCTGCTGCTGCTGCTCACAGCATGAGATAAAGCAGCACTTGTCCTTCACTTGTTGTTCTTTTTGATGAACATGAACTTGATTTCTGTGCAGCTTTAAATCATTTTGTTAAACTTTATCCTGTCCTGGTTCTTCATTGGACTGACATCATATTTCTCAACATCTAAATATATATATATATGTTAAAAAGAGCGGGAAATTAAGAACTATTTTTCCACTGCTACACTACCTCCATGTTTGTTTTTTGGACTTCACTCAACATCATCATTTTAGGATTTCAAACAAACAAACAACCAACATTTAAATATTTTTAATAAAAAAATCTGAAGTTAGAATCAAGACATAGAAAGGGTTAATGTTTGTATGGGATGCTGCTAGGGTCAAAATTAACCTGCTGTATTTTTTTTTATTATTTATTTTTTAACCTTTTCCATTTTATTTTTTTCCATTTTATTCCAATACAAAACTGAATTATTTTGTGACAAATTACATCACAATTAATCCTGATGGTTGTTGATTAATCCAGGACTAACCTGAGATTAACCTGTGATATGACTGTGTTACAGTATATTTACACAGGGGGTGCTGTTGGTCTGATGTCTGTGATGAATATTAGACTTGTCCACAGACCTGTCTGTTGTTCATCCTGCCCTCCTGTGGTAACTAATCTGCCCCCGGTGTAATCTGACCCCCCCCCCCGCTCCTCCCCGTCACTGGGACGTCAAAGTCCCGTAACCACTGGTCCGTGCTGCTGATGCTGGTCCAGTTCTGTTGAAAGGTCACCTCACTCCACACCCTGATTGGCTGGAATGGCTTGTGTCTCATTTGTCACCTCGCTGCTAAGCTTCTAAGATTCTCCATTTTGCTGTCGCTAACTTCGCACTGATCTCGCAAAAACAATCGATTAATCCCGGCCGCCGAGGCGCGGTGCGATGTGACGAGCCGTCCGTGCTGCCGTTCTTCTCTCCTCCTCTGTTGACGTTGTGCTCCTCCTTCTCCTCCTTCTCCTCCTTCTCCTCCTTCTCCTCCACAGAGAACAATAACATTAGGTGCCGGCGACAGGCAGGTGATCCAGACTCCCATCGATGACTCACTTCCTGTCAGTGGCAGCAGCGTGGCCCAGCTCTTCAGGCAGCTCGGTATGGTTTTTGTCCTCATCCAGAGATTTACTCCATGTTTACGTGGATGAAACATTGTTTTATAAGGATGAAAAAACTGATGTAAATGTTCCACCAGGTGTCACTAACTCATCACTGGTCCCTGAAAACTAAAGATTAGGAGTGTGTATTGGCAACAATCTGGCGATACGATACGTATCACGATACAGAGACACCAGTACGATACATTGCGATATATTGCGATACTACAGGCACAACAATATATTGAGCCCTAGTCTGAGACTCTGTTCTATCTGAACATCAGGTTACTGACACTGGAACAGAGGGATCTGATATTTTCTTCCACTCCTACTAAAAAGACAGAGTTTTAGCCTGGAGAGAGACTCTGTTTCCTAAAAGCTCTGTCTGGCTCCAAGAACAAAAAAAATAACCCCCCCTGCTGGTGGTGCTGTTTTCATGTGACAGTGTGTGTGAGACTGGCAGTGACCTCCTGTTGACCTCCTGTTGACCTCCCGTTGACCTCCCTCTTCCTCCCTCCAGGTATAGTCAACGTCCTGTATCTGTTCTGCGCCGCTCTGACGGAACATAAGATCCTCTTCTTGTCCAGCAGCTACCAGAGACTGACGGACGCCTGCCGCGGCCTGCTGGCCATCATGTTCCCCCTCAAATACAGGTGTGTGTGTGTGTGTGTGTTGATCATGTGACGATCGTGTGTGCTCATTGGTTACAGTGTAACAACACTCCTCGTGGTTGCTCTCGTCCTCAGCTTCACCTACATCCCCATCCTACCAGGGAAACTGTTGGAGGTCCTGAGCACCCCCACCCCCTTCATCATCGGCGTCAACTCTTTTTTCCGCTCAGAAACTCAAGAACTGGTAGGTGGTCCGACCTCTGACCTGGACCAGTCCACGGTCTGGAGAGATTTTCAAAACATTAGTTCATTTTTTTAAATCTGTTTTTCCTCGTAGACAAACGTAGTTCCTTATTGTGTTCAGTGA